GGATGGGCCAGGAGAGACCCCATGAGCTGGTGTAAAAGCCAGTGGCCTTGACAGTCTTAGAGAGGGTCTCTGTCCTTGCACGAGGCAGTGGGAGGATTTGAACTTGATATATGCTACATCCCTTGGGCTCTGTGTCCTTTTTGCATGGGGTTTGCATGATGTCTAACTGGGCTGTTGTCCGATGTTTGTGCTGACAGACAAATATGATAGCCTGTGGTTTGCTGTGCACTGCATCTGCTTCAGTCTGCCTACCCTAGAGTGTGCTGTTTCCTTTCAGAAGATTCTCCTGCCACAGCTGCAGGCTCCTATGCTTTTGCTTCTGCTGCAGGGCTTGGCCATTGTTCAGCAGCTGAGTCTGGGCTTCAGATCTGGAGCCCATCTTGACCCTTTCCTCTTTCCACTGCTTTGCTTCCTTACCCTGCCAAAGATAAGTGGCTTTTTGGTGGCTATTTCTTGCTAAGCAAAGCTGCTGGCCCTTGTTGTGACCCTGCTTTCTCCTGCCATGGACTGACCAGGCAGCAAAGAGCCCCCCAGAGTTACTTCTGCAGGTTGCCTGCAGCCAACCAAACCCTGCTGTGAGGCAGCCACTGGGCTGCTTTGCCCTCACGCCAGGTTTGGGCATCCTGATGTGCCCAACACTTTCCATGCTCTCAGTTCATGGGCAGGTGTCCATCAGGAAACAAATAAAAGTGGGGACACCCCCCTCAGCCCAGTGCTGCGATGGCAGCCCAGTGCTGATGGCTCCTCAGCTGCTTCTGTGTCTCCTGTGGACGGCAACACGTTGCTTCTACCAGGCACTATTTCTGGAGGTGGCGGCGGCTGTGCTGAAGTTGCAAACCCCAGCACGGCTGTGGGGGTCTGTCCCATCTGCTCACGGCACTGCAGTCCCACCACAGAGGACACCTTCTTCCTGCCCCGAGCCTTCTCCATCCAGAGCAGTGCGCACAGCAGCGTGACCAGCTGGGTGACCGCACAGCCCAGGGCCCACGGAGCAAAGACGGCAACAGAAACCCTGGTGGGAAATGCTGAGGCAGCTACTTTAAAGGTTAACCCAACACAGGCTGTACAACACGGCTGCTGCTGTGAGAAGAGGGGAAGTATGCACTGAACCCTGGCAGCTGTGGCTGCTCTTGCAGAAGCTCAGGAAACCAGAGCCCAGGGCAGGTGGAGAGGCTCAAGGGCTCTGCAGCACAGGGGTGTCACCCCCCTGCACTAGTCCCACAGACACATGCAGCTCTTAGAGATAACAAACAGGGGAGCAAAGATGTTCAGTCGCTGGGGTTGGGCAAGCAGCTCTGCCTCTTCACTGCTCTAGGGAGGGCTGGAAGCATCCAGACATGCAATGTCTGGGATCTGGCTAACCCGGCACTGGTGTCTAATGGTGTGGAAGTGCCCCCGAAGCTGCACACACCTGGCTGTCTTGTCATCCTCCATCAGAGAAAATGGGCACTGCTGAGGGCCGTGATGGCTCCTGCAGGTAGCAGTGACTTGAGGCCTCTCTTTTGTTCAGTTAGGTGAGATGAGTCCCAGCAGCTGTTTTTAGCCAGCCTTTGAAAAATAAAGGGACTACTTGAACCTGCAGCAGAACCACTGCAGGAAGAAGTGGTGCCCAATATCATGTTAAATTGTGTCAGTGCCTATCACAGGTAGGAGCTGCATTCAGACCCTTAATCCACCATCATGTGAAATGCTCCCCAGCCATGAAGAAATGGGTTGTTGAGAGTAAAATCTTGTATCAAGTCTGCCCTGCAAGGTGGTTTTGTCCTCGCTGCCAGCTTGTGAAACTCTGCCAAAGTTTACAACCCCAGCACAAACCAACAGAGCAGAGTGGGATCCTCTGTCAGGGCTGCATTCTGTAAATTCTTTTGGTGGAAGGTCAGATATAAACATCTATTTATTTTTTTACAATGGCAGCATCACTCTGCTACTTTTGGTGCTTGGCTTCATTACTGTGTTGACTTGTGGCTTCCCTGAGTTCCCAGACATAAAAAAGGGCAAGAGAAGTCATGAGGAAGAGCCATTGGTGGCAAAAATATTAGCAGCACAGAGCCCCAGGAGCAAGGTCTGTAGCTTCCAAGTCTACTTCCAGCCTAGCAGCCACAGCAGCTTCCCAGTACTCACCATCTGCAGTGTGCTCAGCCCTCAGCATTAACCAGCTAGGCAACTACTGCCACCATCCCAACCCCACCCTGAAAGTAGCTGCTGAAGTGCATACAACTTTCTGGTTAACAAGCCCCCCCCCACACCCCCAGCCTACCA